GGTCCCGCTGAAGACAACGCAGCTGTTGGATGACAGGGGGAATGATGGCCCCGGTGTCATCTGCAAAAGCTGTAGATTTCAGGGTCAGGTTATTGCCAATCTGGAGGCCGCGCAGTTCCTCATCTGCCCGGAGCAGATCATGCAGAGCCTCAATGTACACCACATACAGTGCGGGCGACAGCGGACAGCCCTGATTTTGTCAATTGGAGGAATCCTGATCTCACACCGTTTACCTGCATGCATGTTCGCGCCTGTGCCAAAAGAGGTCTGGTCCAGCTGCAGAACTTCAGTCCCACACCCCGTTTGCTGAGGCATTGCAGCAGGAACTCCCATCTGACCCGGTCGTAGGCCTTTTCCAAGTCAATGGCCACAAAGGCCATTGGCTGGCCACCGATCTCCCCATTTCGTAACACCTGACGAGCAAGCATGATGTTGGAGATGATCTGTCGACCTGGCACGAAGCCCGCTTGGGCTGGGTTAATGATGGTTGGCAAAATCTGATTGAGGCGGTTCGCAAGTATCTTGGCCAACACTTTGTAAGTGGCGTTCAGAATCGAGATCGGGCGCCAGTTCCTAACATCCTCCTAGGCCCCTTTTTTGAAGATCAGCACCGCGTATGCATCAGCAAAGCCCACCGGAACTTGCTCCTGCTGCAGCGCATCATTGAAAGCTTTGGTGAGGAGAGGAACAAAGAAGGCCTGCATCGCCTTATACATTTCCACGGGGATTCCATCCACCCCCGGGGCCTTCAAACGCGGGAGCTCCACAATCGCCCGCCGTACTTCCTCCTGCGTGATGTCATCATCAAGGGCCGCAGCCTGCGAAGGGGCCAACCTGCTTGCTATGTGATTCCAGATGTGCTCCTGCGGGATTGCAGCCATGTCCTCAGGCGACCAGGCCTCCTCCTCCGTAAACAGATAGGCATAGAAGTCCATAACACACCGTAGTATTTCATCCGTTGATTCCTGCCGCGGGAGCTGCTGGTCGAAGGGGTGGTCCATGGCCGTCATGAGGGCAATGCCTCGGTTTCTTCCCAGTTCCTTAAAGAGGCGCCTAGACATGGTTTCGCCCACCACCGTCCATCCCACCTTCGACCGCCGCCCCCACCTCGCCGCCTCTATAATCTCCCACTCCTTCCATTCCCTTGCCGCCTCCAACCGTTCCCCCCACCATTCTTCCTCGGACTGTCCCTCCTAGGGACCTCCGTTAAGGGCTTCAAGTCGGTCGGCGAGTTCCTGTCCCGTGGCCAGATGAGCTTCATAACTGTTGGCCAAACGCGAGTGCAAGCAACCRCGAAGTAGGGCGCCACCTTGCATCAGCCATTGTAGGTCCGTCAGGCCTGCCGGTCGCACCTGCACCCAGGACTCCCAGTGCTGTCTTATAAGAGGCTGGTACTCGGGCTTCTGAAACACCCACGCTGGGATGGATGGCAGAGGGCGGCCCGTCATCGTCTCGCCCACCGGGAAGGTCGCCAATACTCCAACGTGATCCGACAGCGCTGTCGGTAGGAGGGTCACCGTGCTGCCATTGTGGTAAATTGGGTAAGACACCAAAATCATATCCAGACGACTGCGCCTGCCCGCTGAGTCGTACCATGTAAAGTCCCCCACATCTGGGTGGGCTGATCGATACGCAGCCCAGCTCGGCCATCATAACCTGCAGTGTTTCCGTATCCGGTGCCACCGGCCGGTCCAGTACTGAGTCCAGCCCTGGCTGGACAGTCGTGTTGAAGTCTCCCACGATCACATACCCCGCGGCATCAGGTAGCTGCAGGCGCAGATAGGTCCAAAATTTTGTACGCTCCCGGGGGTCAGGTGGCCCATACACAGACACCACGCACCATCGCAACTGCCCCYACTGCAAGGTAATCCATGCCCACCTCCCCTGTCCGTCCCAATACCAATCCACSAATTCTCCCCTACATTTGGGGGAGACAAGTATGGCCACTCCCCCCCGCGTTCCTCTTTCCGCCCGCCCTTGGGCCGGGGCCCACACCTGGGGTCCCTTCCACCAGGGGGCGTCGTGGTCACACAGTCCTTCCCCAAGTTTCGTTTCCTTGAGACAGATGACATCCACTTGCTGCATACGAACAGTACGCTGCAGCTCCCATCGCTTCGGGTTAAGGGATCGTGTCGAGAGGCCCTGGACATTCCACCGTTCCACGTGAGCACTTTGAGCTTGGTTCGATGCGACCGCTGTGCCATTAGAACTCCTCCAGCACTGTTTCATCAAAGCTACAGGGGCTTTGTAACAAAAAGCTCATACCCCCTTCACACCCAAATGAACAGTAAAAACAAACAGTGAAAACACATAACAAAAAATCGAGCAAAAGTTCAAAAGAGGGTTTCAAACACAACTGTTAGCAGGTACCCTAACGTCGGGAAAAACAAACAGTACAAAACCACATGCCAAAAACTCGAGCAAAGATTCAAAAGAAGGTGTCAAACACAACTATTTGTGAATACCCTATCGTCGGGAGGGAGTGCTTCAATTCCCGAGGCACTCCATAAGTAACACAGCTCCTACTACCTAATTGTCTAGTCTATGTCCCTGTCCCTCCACCACCCGAGGGCCTGCTGAATGTTAGCTGATCCGACTCTCTGTTCCTCCGGCAGCATAGCGTTGAACCTCGCCAGCACCATGGCCGTGAATTCGTGGACGATCCTGTAGCTTGCGGGTCGTGCCCGAGGGCCGAAGATCTGATCGAAGCTAGTCCATGTCGCGTCTCGATGTGCCAAGTTACGAGAGCCCTCACGGCGAGGAGTGATGGCCAGAAAAAACAACAACAATCCATATTCCTTCCCCTGGGGCAGTTGGCTGAAAAGTCTTCCTACCGACACTTTTGGCAGCATTTTGACTCGGTAGTTCGCTCCCACCGAGCGGCTCACCTGCTGGGAGATATTTGCATTCCTCGGAAGGGATCTCGCCGCATAGGTCAACAGCTCGGCCCCCCCTTTGGTAACGATTTTAATCCCCCCCTCTGCCCACCACAGCATAATCGGGCACACATGACAATCACCCGCCGCCAATATCGTCGTAAGCGACCCCTGCACGGTCGTTGTAATACCCCTTTCCTCCTCCATCCTTTCCGCCCCAGCCTCCATCGGGTCGCCCCCTTCATCCCGCATCGGGGAGTCCCCCCACTCATCCCTTCGTCCGCTCAGTCCAACCGCATGCTCTCAGAATCCGAGTCAGAGATCACTTCCGCAGGCCGAGCACCCTCCTGCCCCTTCGCCCCCTTCTCCTCTCTCTCCTCCTCCAGCCCGAGTCGTCGGCGTTCGAGGGAGATCCATTTCCTTCCCACGTCCACTTCCTGCTCTCGCACTTTCCCCGCCCCCTTTCTCCTGCGAGGAGAACGTTCCCGTTCTCTCTCCGGMAGGTTAGTTCGCAAAACCCCCTCTTCCTCGGCCCTATCATGCTGTGTAGGCCCAAGCGGACCCGGGGTCAGCTGCTTCTTCCTACGTCGGGTCGGCTTTACCGTGRGGGCAGTCGTGCAAGGCGGGGTCCCCTGCAAGCTGGACGCCAGCTCCACTGATKCCCCCKATGASCCCCGACCACTCTCACCTTCTCGTTCCTCCGACGATGCCTGGACACTCTCACCTTCACGTTCCTCACTAGACTTGTCTTTATCACAATACCCCTCTGCCTTCGCATGGTTCTCCACCTTGGCATTCCCCATCTTCTCCCCTCCCCTACTCGATCCTTCATCCTTACCGCCTTCCCCTTTTGCTGTCCTTCCGGGGTTGCTTGCTCCGGCCGCTCTCCCTCCGCTATCGCCACCCCTTCGTGTGGTTGGTCGACGTCACCAACTGCCGTCTCCTCCTCATCCTCCACCTTGCGTTGTCCTTCCGATACCTCTGCATCCTCCTTCTCACCCTCCACCTGCCGTTGTTCTTTCGACGCCACTTCACCCTGCCCGGGCTTCTCCACTACCACATCCCCCTCCTTCCGCAGGGCAGTGCTACCGCTCGGCTCTGGCCCACTACCCCTTTCGCTGGTCTCCCCCTCCCCCCCTCTCCGTCCCTCGCTCCCACTTTCCTCCTCCCCCCCCCCTCCCCTGCCCCTTCACCACCTTCCTCGACCTGTCTCCCCACCCTTTCACTGTGGTCCGGATTACTGCCCCGTTGCATGTCATTCCCAACACCCGCATCCGGCAAAATCTCGCCCCCAGCGGCCTTCCGCGCCTCCTCGTTCTTGCCGATTTCGACTTCAACTCGCCGCCCTTCATTGACGGTCTTACTACTCTGTGCTTCCTCGCCCTTCGTGTGAGGCGCTGCCCCCCCCCCTTCTTCGTGTCACCATGCATCCTCCCTCCCCACCCCCCCCCCCCCCCCCCCCCCTTCACTTACCTGATTCCCGCTTGACTTCGTACTAGCTGGCTCCTGACTCTGAGGCACGTCCACTCCACACTGCCGTTTGTCCCCTGTACCTTCCTCCAATGGCACTCGCAAATCCTCCCTCTGTTCCTCCTTCCGTTTATTAGAGTCCTCACCAAATAGCCACTGCGGGGGGTCCATTTCCATCCTCTCAACCGTGGCCCCCAAGGTCGTTCGAGTCCGACGCCCTCCCCTCCGCCGTTGCGCGCTCATCTCCCGCGCTTGATCCATCGTAGCTGACATACCCGAATGGTGCGCTCCCCCCCCGTCCCGCCACCTTGCTTCGTTTAACTCTTGCAAAAACTCTGCGTCAAATCGCCGCTCAATATCACGCCATGCAGCCTTTCATTCTTCCAAGTTCGAAGTAAGGATAGGGTCCGCCCGCCTTCGCGTCTCTCTTTCTTGAAGCTCCCTAGTCGTTTCTGCCTGGGACAGACAGCGTCCCTCCCTCCCCAAGTGGCCATGTGTGTAACACATTTCACAAAAGGGGGTCTCGCTAGTAATAAACCGCAACTCTTGGATTGTCGTCGGCCCCAAGGCAAGCGCGACCTTATCAGTGCAGTGCACCTTGAGTGGTCCCTTCACCACGTATTTCCGATACTCCTTCTCATCCTCCATGAAAGATACCCTAGAAAATATATCGCCGAACAGCTGTTGCACCAGTAGTTCTTCGAGGGGAGCCACATATGAGGGAGGGCTAAACACCTTGATCCATGGCCAGTTTCGCCTCTCCTCCTCTCTCTGAAATTCCAACTCCGCCGGCGCGCACCAGGGGGAGAGCGACACTTCATATTGTCGTCCTCCCACGGTGATGAGCTCCACACGCCTTTCCCCAATCAACCAATCGCGAAGTTCCGTTGAGGGGGCCATATAGATCACCGTCCGCGCCCCCTCAACATCGATCGAGCCTTTCCACGGTCCCCTCCCCATGAGCCACAACTCTTCTCGAGCCAGCGCCCACCTCTTCTTCATGCTCCTGGACCAAGATGCAACGCCTTTTGGAAGCTTCAGGACCACCGCATGGGTCCGGGCATACGTCATCAGCAAGTAGCTCACGTCCGGGGCCAGTCGCGCAACAGCCGTCCCCCCTTCTATTGTACATGAGAGCAGCTCCGACGATCTCAACTGGAGCCCCAAAAAGAAAAGTCCTTCGGAGCACCTTCATCAAAGCCAGCCGCTGTTCCTCCACAGTATTCATGACCAAATACGATCGTCTCCCAAAATCCCCTCTACCCACCTATCCGCCTCCCACACCCGTTCGTAGGTCGTTCCCGCTCGGCCTCCGTCGGGCACCAAAACACGGGACTCCCCCCCACCGGGGTCGACCAGTCAGCAAGACGGCACGTAAGGTCCCACACAGTCGCTGCTCCGTCTTCTGTTCCGCAGGGGAGGTCTCCTGGCGCAGCACCCTGCCCAACGCCCACCTCCCTGCACGACCACCTCCAGCACTCCCTCCCGACAGGACCCCTGTCTACTCATACTTCCCTCGTCTTCGTCGTCAACTACCCACCCGATGCACTGCGAAAGGACGCACAGTCAATGCGCACCGCCAGGGCAGCATGTCAGCCGGAGGGCATCCCCAGGCCCCGGCCCGCACGTCTGCACCATCGCCAAAGCGCAAACGACAAACCCTAGCCAAGGTCAACGGTTGTCGAAATTTTCGCGATTGAAAAAAGAAAAAACGCGCGACGAATCGCCACTCGTCAACGCCCCACGCTTTTCCGGTCAGATATGCCCACCGCAGATCGCCATCCGTCGTTGCCGACCGCGGGTACCAACCGACAGCCGCAACGTTTAGCGCAGCCCTCCGCAAAAATTAGCGCAGCGGCAAAAATTAACACAAAAATTGCCATTCGCAGTTTCACAGTGCAAAGTGTTCACACTTAGACGTGCATGGCTTAGTCTTTGAGACAAGCATATGACTAYTGGCAGGATCAACCAGGTAGCGGGCGTGACGAGCAGCCGCAAGGAGCGATGGCCGAGGCGCACGTAGGCACGTCAAGCCGGACAGCCTACCAAAAGAACGTCGAACAATCGTGGAACGTGCAATGAGCTGCCGAGACGCCGCGAAGTCCGGCTGTTGGAATTGCAGGTGAACTTCCCTCCGTAGGCCGTCTCCAACGGCAAGGTACTGCACAATCCAACACAGCCCGCCGCACCCGCCCAAGAGATTGGATGCGAACAGCACCCGCCCACACCACACCCTGAGATCGCAAGTTAACCACACTACCCGAACAACGGCATGCGCGAAGGAACCACCGACAGCTTCGGCCCACAGCCGGAAGCCACCGCCCGCCCAAAATGTACCGACAGCGAAGTGCACAGCCTCATCTCTCCATCGAGAAACGCGAATGAAGAGAGAAACGAATGCACCACGCTTCCAACAACGCCGGCCAAACGAAAAGCCTCCACCTCTGCACGGGGGCGCAAAAGGAACACAACCCCTCTCCCCCCTGGGTCCACATCCGCGGGTTGCCGCGGGCACCACCAACAGCAATCGACGCAGGTGAAACCCAGGACAGAGGACAGTATTCTTCGAAGCCCATAACCTAAACGATGCGGAACCACGACGCAACGCGATCCATCACGGTGTGCAGCATACCGAGACCASAGGATGGGGGACACGACGGGCACAAGCGCGCATTCCGAAAAGTCAGGCAGATGACGGGCCCAGCCTCGCGACGTCGTCAGAGGGTGCATCACGCATCACACAAGTCTCCGCCCTCGCATGCGGTAAGCAGCGCGTGCATGGCCGAGGCCCCCTGCGCCACCGCTCAAAGGCGTCGCTTGGATGGCGAAGAGCGCAGAGCATCCTCACCAAGTCGTGACACCCCCTCAACAGAAACGGAACGCCCCGTTGTGAGTGCGGACACGAAGACGACACCACAACAAAGCCTCAACAACTCTCCCCGTAAACTACGGGATGATGGTGCCGAAGCTGAGAGCCGGTGACGGGCACCTCCGCCTCCACACCCTGCAAACGACCGCCAACCGGACCGCCGTCGGCGATCAGGCGCCAATCATCGCAAGACGATGAGCGAGGGTGAACGCAACGATCCACAACCTGGCACCACGGCATAGGAAAGCCCAGACAGCCGCGACCGCAGCCAACGACGACCGAGCTGTAGTGAAATAAGCCCTCCGAGAGAGACGACCATGGCCCCAAACGGCGCCGCAAAAATGTTTGCTTGACCACCAAAGCACGACTCGCCCRTCCCTCGCAAACTGGAAACCACCCAAATCGTGTGCAGAGAGTCCCTCGTAACTCGAGTACAAGGTCCTGAAACCCACGCCTGGAACGTCGCCTTCGTCGACTGCAAGGGGGCTGCTCAGCACGCAGKCCCCTATAAGAGTGCAAACGGGAACCGCCAACCACCGACTGTTTGGCACATCCAGAGGGTGCTCACTGAGCCATCCGCCGAGGGACCTACACATGTCCCTTTCCAGCAAGCTGACTGAACAGACCCCAATGGCGATGTCCCCCTCGGGACCTCATCCCTTTCCGCTCTCAATAAGACCTTCGATCCTGGGAGACCCGCTTTTCTCGGGGCCGTTCGTACGCCCGAGTGGCAGTGCGCGGTATCTGCTGCCCCCACAAAATTCGACACTACAAAAGTCCATCCCATCTCCGTCCCTTCCACACACAAATGGATAAGGGGAAGGGCCGGGGAAAAAAAATAAATACATTTGAAAAAAAAAAAAAAAAGTGACGAAACAAACAGAGAAAAGGCCAAGCAGATTTGTGCCTAGCGACTCAGATCACGCCGCGGTGTGGGAGTGAAAAGTTTACGGGAAGTCTGGCAGAATCGTGCGTCCGTTGTGGGGTTATGTGTTGGCGAACATG